ACACACACACACACACACACACACCCCTCCAGCCACAGTTCAGAGATAGTCTCTGAACTGTAGCAGATTCAAAGTCCTAAAACCTTCCACAAATATTTCAGAGTGACATAGTACCCTGCTGGCAATAAACCAACGTGGTTTGTTGACTGTAATTCCTTTTTCTAATTATTTTTTTTTGAAATGGAATCTCACTCTGTCACCCAGGATGAAGTGCAGTGGCGCGATCTCAGCTCACTGCAACCTCTGCCTCTCCCTCTTGGGTTCAAGTGATTCTCCTGCCTCAGCCTCCTGAGTAGCTGGGATTACAGGCATGCTCCACCACCATCTGGCTAACATTTGTATTTTTAGTATAGACAGGGTTTCACCATGTTGGCCAGGCTGATCTTGAACTCCTGGCCTCCAGTGATCTACCCACCTTGGCCTCCCAAAGTGCTAGGATTACAGGCATAAGCTACCACATCCAGCCTGCTGACTACAATTTCTGATGACCAAAAACTTCACTGATCGCTCTGGAAGTTATTTAATATTACTAGGTGGTAAATACTGTGCTAAACAGTACTTTTCATGCAGTACCTCAATGAATACGACAATCTCTAGAACATTGGTTCTCAAAGCACAGCCCCTAGACCACGAACATCAGCATCACCCCAAAACTTGAAAGAAATTGCAAATTCTTGGGGCTCACACCATATTTTCTATTACATTAGAAACTCTGAGATTGAGGTCCAGTAATTTGTGTCTTAACAAGTCCTCCCAGAGATTCTGATGCCTGCTGAGGCCTGAGAACAGCTACCTAGAAATTAGGTGCTATTATCATCACTTTGCAATAAACACCTGAGGCCCAGAAAAGTAAAATGATTGTGCAAGTGATATAGAAAGTGGACAAGACAAGCTTTGAACCCAGACAAGTCTAACTCCAGAGTTGAGGCCCTTAATCACAGTTCTACAACGCTCATTATCTGAGGAATAAAGCATGAATTAAATCTGTGAACATCAGGCAGAACCATGCAAAATGGGGATAGGAGGGATCATTCTAAATCTCAACAGCTTAACCATAATGATGGGCCACAAGGAACAATGACACTTCTCAGAAACCTAAAATTTAACTTAAATGTTCGCCAAGATGGGAGTAAATAAATTATGATACATTCATATAATGGAATAGAATGCAGTTCTGCGAGTAACGTTTGCCAAGATTTCCAATGACCTACAAAAGTACTTAGAATATAAGAAGGGAAAAAAATCAAATGCAAAATCAAACAGAGACCAGGAGCACTAGTGTGGGAAGTTTCCCCAAAGCATAACGTGTTGGTGAGGACGTGGGAAACCGGGTGGTTTCACAAACTGTTGGTGTGACTATAAATTGGTGTTGTTACTTTGCAGGACAATTTGGCAATAGATGCCTCCATTTAAAAATGCACATGAATTAGGACCCAAAAATCCTGTATCTTAGAATCAACCCTAGAAAAAAACTTGCACATGTGCATAGACATGTATAAAGATGATCACTGCTGTTTAGCTTCTAATAGGAAAATAATCTGACAAAATCCCTAAATTAAATGTTTATAACACAAATGATGAATCCTTGAGGTGATGAAAACCCCATTTACCCTGATGTGATTATCAAACATTGTATGCCTCTACCAAAATACTTCACTTATCCTATAAATAAACACATTTTTGTATTGTGAGTTGGGGCGGGAGGTGGGGATGACTAATAGGGTAAAAAAAAAAAAAGATAGAAAGAATGAATAAGACCTGCTATATGATAGCATAATTGGGTGACTATAGTCAATAATAAATTACTTGTATATTTTAACATAACTTAAAGAATATAATTGAATTGTTTGTAACTGAAAGGCTAAATGCTTAGGGGATGGACACCCCATTCTCCATGGTGTGCTTATTTCACACTGCACGCCTGTGGCAAAACATCTCATGTACCCCATAAATATATACACCTACTATGTACCCACAATTTTTTTTTAAATAAAAGAAAATTAACTCCTAAATTTCTATCATTATGCAGATCAGATAACTAAATCATGACACCACGATACCATATTGAAGAATGTGATGTGGGCTCTGAAGTTAGACTTGTCTGGGTTCAAATGTTTATGAGTTACAAAAAATATAGATACACTTGAGATATAGCTATAGACAGACAGACAGATCGATCGATCCCAGGTGTAGGTTTCCAAGATATATTGTTGAGTAGAAAAAAAAGGTAAGTGGTAGGAAACAAAGTTTGATGTGACTTATCTTACAAAGGAGATGAGAGAAAGAGAGGAGAGCAAAATAAAAATCCCATAAGTAAACACACAACATCATGCATTTTCAGTGCATATTTCCAACAATGAGTATGTAAGTGAGCAAATAATGACAACAGCAAAACTCTCATCCCTCTTTGGGAGACAACAAGCCCTTTCTTACGGGTGCAAGGTGTGCATCGGGATCTCTGGTCTCTCCATCTGCCCGTAGCAGCTGGCCTTGGCCTCGGGGATGTAGGAGAACTTCTCCAGCATAGAAGATGCAGCAGTGGTTAGGATGCCAATGCCGTCCCTCACTCTCGCCTCCAGGGTGTAGTCCCAGTCATCGTAGGAGACGGAAATAAGTCCCGATGGAAACTCTTTGGGGATGAGCTCCGTGTTCCCAGAGACCAAGCTGGGGACAATCCAGAAGAAATCATACCCGGTGAGGCCAAGGGAACGGGCCTCACTCAGAATGAGGACAGCCTCGTCTTTGGAACAGTAGAGCAAGATGACAGAAGAGTGGATCTTCTTCAACTGGACTTGTGTCTTTGCATCCTCAAAGGAAGTGTCCAGTGTGATCACATTCTGCATGTCCCAGCCCACAAAGCTGTTGTCCACCGTGGTCTTGACGAAGCTGATGAAGTCCCTGTAGCCAGGGAAGATGGTAGTCACCAGGGAGAAGACATGCCAGTCATAATCCTGCATGATCTTCAGCATGACCGTGGCTTGCTGCTGGATGGATGCTCCAAACTGGAAGAAGGTAGACGTCGGATCCTGCCAGTGAAAAGAAAGTAAAACAAAGGATGAGGCAGGAGGTGGTTTATACAGAAGCACGAAACTGCATCCTAGAAGTAAGGAAAGTAAATCACACATCAATCATTTGCAGATATTCCTGAGCATCTACTATATGCCAGACTCCAGAACAGATCCTGCAAATACAGAGAGGAAAGAAGCCGCTGTACTCAGGAGCTTATAGCCAGGTCCTGGAAGGATGTCTGTTATTATTGCTTGTTTATCATCTATTCTTCTCATTTTCCTCCAGTTCATCCTGCCCCCTCCTCCTTTGAGTCTATATGGTTCTAACAGAACAAACTCTATCTGACCCCCACCCCGGCTCACGACTGGAAAAATCAAGCCACAGATACAAAACAGCATCAACAAAGACAGACAGTTTTCTAACGATATATTTGGAGCCCCTAGAGTCTGCCAAGTCTGAAGTCATTTCTCCTGGACCCCTTGGTTACAGAAACCAGTACGTTTCTATGTTCATGTAAGCAGTTTGAGTAGGGTTTCTGTCACTTGAACGTACAGCTCCCACGTAATAGAGTATCATAAATACCATGTGGACATCTACCTTTTCAATCAACAAACATTTATCGAACACCTTATTAAGCGTTCTTAATAAGAGTTAAGTGGAAGACAACTTCCATGAACTAAGGGCTAAAAGATGCATATGAAGTGCTGAAGGAACATCCAGGTGAGGAAGAGGAGAAGTGCATGGATGTTACAGTCAGAGGAATCCCAAGGATGCACTACAACTATTTCAGAAGCTGTAGATGAATACATCATGGCGCCCAAAGGAGGGGTACGATATGATGTTGAAGAGCTTGGCAGAAACCCCAGTACATAGGGCCTGAGGAGCTATGTCCAGAGAGTTAGACTCTATTCAGAGGATAAGGGAGAGTCGCTGAATGTTCTCACCCTAGAAAGTGGCATGGTAACTTATGTTGTGTTAAAGGGCCTCTATTAGCCCTAACATCTCCACCAATCTACGATCATGAGAACAAATTTCCATTTAGAAAAGGCAGGTGATACATACAGTGGTACAATATACAAGCTGCCTTCATACCCCCTAACTCGTCAAATCCCCACAGTAATCCTACAAAGCTGGTATTGTTGGCAGGGAAAATGAGGCTCAAAACGGTCACACGGCAAGTAGGCATCCGTACCTCGGTGCCATGACTCTACGTCCTGCCCTCTTTCTGACACTCAACCACAGCCTTCCTGGGATCACTGAAGATCTGTATGGAACAGATGCTTAAATCACATTGTTGACTTGTGGACATGGTGCAAAAATGCCAACTAAACAGAACAAAAAGTATGCCTCTGTGTTGAAGCAAAACAGGATTTGACAAGTGCTGAGACGTATTTCCTTCAGGTAACTGAAAAAATTATCAAAGGGTCCTCATCATATTACAGTCATGTTTTTATTTTGCATTCTGTATTTACCATGTGTATTGAACACAACCTCAACAGGGTAACTTACGGGGATTCCACTGGAAGTGTGTGTGTGTGTGTGTGTGTGTGTATGTGTGTGTGAAGGGTGGATGTTCCATTCACGTTTTTCAGAACAATACTTTGTAGCCGTGCATGTCAATTCTTTCAACAAGCTTACATTGCTTTCCCTGTGGGTGCTCACTAAAAGTTTTATCAGAACGGGCCAAAAGCTATAGTTCTTCGAAATACTGCTCTTTTCTGAAATGCATGGGTTTGGGGGATAATTTGAGTGAAGCGTGGCCTGAAGGCAGAGAAAAGAAACAAGAATAAATGTCTTCTGGGCCCCTTCCAACATTACAGTTCTATGAATTTTACCTAATTAAATCAATTAAAGTGGGTAATAGATTTAAAGACTTTGGATAATTATTGTTTTCCCTACAGTAGCTTTTACAGAAATCTAATATTCTTGAATTGATTAACCATTTTAAATCACATCTCAACAAGACTGTGAGCTCCTCAAGGGCAGAGATTTTTGTCGTTTTCATCTTTATGTCCCCAGAACCTGGCAGAAGTCTTGGCACAACCATAAATGGATGACAAGGGAATGAATATGTGAATGAAGCCTAAGAGGAATGTCCTTGGTTAAGACCAGAAATGGAAAGAAGGAGAATTCAGTAACTGAGATTGTATTTTGTGTGGATTCTGAATATTGTGACCAAAACAAAATGAAACTTTCAACATCATCACCTACACCTTCCTACCCTGAGGAATTACCCAACCATCCAATACCCACCTATATCTCAATGTGTCATTTGTTGATAAAGAGGAGAAGATAGAAGACCTATAAACCTCAGCTGTTGTCCAAAGAACTTCATTAAATGTCAAAATAGGGCAACAACATAAAGAAACCACCAACAGAAGGCAACACAGAAGTAGAGTCTAAAGGCAATTATATTCACCAACCTTACACACTGTGAGACGCCTCTTGGGATGGGGCAAAAATGTTCTAAATTACCAAAGAAATGTGATAACTCCCACGGAAATGATGCCTCAAAGGAAGCCAGTCACCAGAGCTACCTTCTGACTGCAAAAGACAGTGGATCGGCATCTTGCACTGAGTACACAAGGAACAGGGAAAGCTCTTAACAGGACACACCTTAAAGGCACCACTGGAACCCAATAAAAAGTGTCTATGAGACAATTCCTTGGGAAGATTGGTATTGGTGGAGAGGTGAAGGTCAGACATGCCAGATGGTGATGGAATGTGGAATCCTCCAACACCCTTGCTCTATGTACTCTGAGCTAGACATGACCAGGGTATCCATGCAAAGGTTTGTGCACAGAGTAGAGCTGTAAGCACACGCATCTTATCTGGTTCTCCACATGTAGAGGAGGGCATGGCTGCACTGTGAACTTCCTCAGGAGAAAGATAATTATAGGGACAGCAGTTAATCGGCCCAGAGCCAGCTCGGCACAGGCCATCTGTGAAAGAGTATGTGCAAAAACCCTTGCTTTGTGCTGTACCCACTCCCTGTCATGCCAAATTTCAGCCCAAGCTGAATCTCTCCCATTACTCACTATGCTGATCCCCATTCACAGCCTCTCCCCAGAATGGAGAATACTAGAACCTCTGGGGTCGGACTACCCAGCTCCAATCCTCATTATGTGGCTTTGGGTAGGGGGGGATAAAACCACTCAGCCTTTCTAAGTCTCAATTTTCTCACCTATAAAATGGGTGTGGCTATGGTGATAATGACCATAGTAAAACATGCTAGAAATACTTAGTCTGTGAGAGTCACATTGCTCCTTACTTTCTAGGTACTATCTCATTTAATGCCACCCCCAACCACCTTACTAAGTTGGCACTAGTAGTATGCCCATTTTACAAATGAAAAAAGACCCAGAAATAGGCTGATTTTTCAGGTAGAAAATCATACAGGTAGAAATCAGGTTTGCCTGCCCTCAGGGTCTCCAGCTTTTTATCTCTGCACTCTGCTGTTGCCAATAATGGTGCTTTCTCATTGAGTTGTAGGGATTAAATGATTCCCTTGTAGCAAAGCACCCAGTGTAGTGCCCATCACGTATGAAGTACTCAGCAAATATTTCACATCAGGAGATTATGCTATCTTTTCCAAGAGGTAATCCACACTCTGGACTTGGAGCATCTCAACAACTCAACCTGTTCAGAGCTGCCTTGTTGAAACTCTTAAAGCATCCCTTTAACCATGCCACTGCCCTACTCTGTAGTCACCAATAGCTCCCAGAGGCCTGCCACGTTAAGTTTAGACTCCCTAGCCTACCCGTCTATGTGTATCAGCTTTATAGTTGAAATATCATGAGCTCTAGGGTCTATTGAACCTGAGTTCAAGTCCTGCTTTTGAGGGACTGTGGCTAACCTAGCCAGCCCTGTGGCTTTGGGAAAGTGCTTAATCTTTCTGGGTCTGAGTCTCTTTCCCTATAAGACAGGAATAATGACCCCTCCATCGCTTGGGGCTGCTGTGAGAATGGGATGAAATGGTAGAAGTGGGAGACTCATCTGTCCATGCCTGACTTTGACAGTTTGGGTACTTGTCTCCACATCCTTGGTCCTACAGATCACACAGACATCCTCAGAAACCTAAGAGGGTCCTCATCCTATTTCAGGAACTGGTCTCTCCAGGTCCACTGACATGCTAGTTTCAAATCCCCACCACCCCATGCAAACCAGCTCATTTATTCTGAGTCCAAGGAGCCTGCATAATGCAAAGAAAAAACTGCCTTTCCGTACAGCAATGAATCCATGCCTTGGAAAGAAACCATCCCTAATGTCTTTCCTGGGCATCATGCAGTTACCCTGTACCACTCTCATTTCTATTGGCATCTTAAACTTCAACCCAAAAACCACCGTGGACCAAAAGCATCATCTACCCCTTGGAGGGACAGAAGTAAGGGCCTATTTGCAAAATATAATAGCATAGCAAAACAATGAAGAGGCTCACATTTAGCTTTGGGATTTTCTAAGGTGATTTTATGGACTGGTAGGACATGATGGGGAATCTGGCCACACTCCCAGGGCCTGGCGTCCAATACGCCAAATCGCCTGAAGCCCCTGAACGTCCTTTCCACTCCCTGCCTTGATGGTAGAGGCCACCTCTCCTGCACTTACCTCCTCCTGCCATGGCTCAGCCTGTACTTTTCGGATTCTACATATCAGCCTCTGACCACCTCTGGCACTCGGCTTCCTTAGAATGTGCAGCCGGGGGAGAGGAACAGATTTCATACACCCACTTTGATTTTGAAGCAAAAGCACTTCTCTCCCCATGCTCACTGCTCTGCGGAAGACAGAACAAACTGTTTTAAACACAGAGCGAGGGAGGCAGAAGGGTGTGGGATTCTGGGTGTCTGCTCTAAACTCTGTGTTTTAGTCCCATCATAACTGAGGTCTCATTCAATCAGGTCTGGAGCATTCAATCCTGCTCCAGAATGTTCCAGAGCTTGCTGGGTCCCCAGGGTGACACCTGACTCCATGGGTACCAAGCCCTGGTGTTTCCTAGAGCCTAACAGCAACTTACATTCCA